ATATTAAAAAGTATCACTTACCCCCTAATTTATGAAGATAATTCAATTCTAAAATTCAAGTAATTTGGTGTAACAGTGGATGTGTGACTTAAAATTTGATAAGCTGAATAAAAAATTTTAAAGAAATCCATAATGTTAAGAATGGCAGTACATTCTCAAGGAAGAATGAACTTTACCAGATATCAGTAATTGTTATAAAAATATAGTACATAAGATATGGTATTAGCTCAGAGATTTTTACTTAGAGAACAGGAATGAGAAAACACAAATATAATAACGTAATATATAATAGAGTCAACACTGCCGAATGAAGAAGAAAAAGATAAATTTTCATATCTAAAGAGATGAAAAGTAAATAAATATTTAAGCACTACCTTACAACAGATAAAAGTGAGGACCAGTTGGATTTAAAACCTAAATGTAAAAGGTAAAATACACTAGCTTTTAAAAGATAATATAGAACATCAGCATAACTTGTCCTTATGAAAATGATTTCTGAATTTGACTACATCAAAATTTAAAACTTCTAGAGATTTAAAAAAACAGTCTACAAGATATGTTATATGATATTTTCACCATATACAAAAGGATAATATTTACAAAAAATTAAGAAAACTTTGTGGCTCAATAAGAAAGATAAAAAAAATTGAAAAAATGAAAGTAGAAATAGTAATTTTACCAAAAAGAAGGCATCAACATCTCAGAAGCACAAAAAATATCAACTATATTAAAAATTAGTAAAATGAAAATTTAAGTCACAATGAGGCATTATATTGTAGCAGAAAATTAGGGGAAAAAGTCAGACACTACCAAGTGTTCACAAAGATATAGAGCAGTGATAATTCCATTCATTATTGATTACAGTAAAATCAGTATATCAACTTTGGAAAACAGTGTGTCATGGACTACATGATATACCTGAAATGTGCATTCCTTAGGTTTACAAAACCTACTAGTGAGAATGTACCCGAAGAAAAAATTGTCTCTACTCTAGAACCATGTACATGAATACTTATAACAACATCCTATATAATAAAAGCCTAATATGCAAATCGACTGAACAGCAGAACAACCGGTCACTATGATGTGCAATGACCACCAGGGGGCAGATGCTCAATGCAGGAGATGCTCCTTGGTGGTTGGTGTGCTCCCACAGGGGAAGCACTGCACAGCCAGAAGCTGGGCTCAGGGCTGGCGAGCACAGTGGTGGCGGCGGGAGGCTCTCCCGCCTCTGCTGCAGGTGGGTGGCAAGGAGCAAGGGGTCCCAGACTGCGAGAGCCCCATACTGTGAGAGGGATGTCTGAATGTCAGCTTAGGCCCAATCCCCAGGGGCCTAAACCAGCAATCAGACATCCCTCTCATAGTCCAGGGCTCTCGAAGTCCTGGACCCCTCATTCCATACCACCCGCCGCACAACTTTCATGTACTGGGTGGGGGGCATCCCTCAGCCTGGCCTGCACCCTCTCACAGTCTGGGACCCCTGGGGGAATGTCCGCCTGCTAGCTTAGGCCCCACAGGACGTGGGCCTAAGCCGACTGGCAGACATTCCTTGAGGGGTCCTCAGTGCCTCTGTGCTCAGCAACTGTGAGCCCGGCTTCTGGTTGAGCAGTGCTAGTCCTGTGGGTGCGCCGCTCAGCCAGAAACCGGGTTTGCTGCTCCTTAGCACTGCCTCGGAGGTGGGAGAGGCCCCTCCACTGCTGCAGTGCTCACCAGCTGTGAGCCTGGATTCTGGCTGAGCTCCTGTGTTGAGCATCTGCCCCCTGGTGGTCAATGCGACCGGTTGTTCCGCCATTTGGTTGATTTGCATATTAGGGTTTTATTATATAGGATAAGCAAAATCTGGGAACTCCCTAAATGTTCATGAAGAGAAGAATGTTATCTATCTATCTATCTATCTATCTATCTATCTATCTATCTATCATCTATCTAATATGCTAATTGGTCCTAACGGTGTCCCAGTCACAACTTTTCAACAGGCTGTGCATGGATAGGAGCTGGTGGGTGGGGATGGGGTCAGGGACTTGCGCTACCAGGACATGAGGCTGCTGCCGGGGACAGCCCCCCGACGGAGGTGTGCGCAGGCCCACCATGCAGCCCAGCCCGGAGGGGGGCATCAGGACGGGGGCGGCCCCCTCATGGAGGTGCACGCAGGTCAATCGCGCAGCCCAGCCCCGGGGGGGGGCGGTATCAGGACGGGGGCAGGACCTTGGTGGAGAGCTCTCAGCACTCCTGCACCAGGGTCTGAAGGCGCGGAGAGGAAGGGAGAGCAGATGGGCAGTAAGGGGGTTTAGACCAGGAGGGGAGAGCAGATAGGCAGTTAGGGAGATCAGGCCAGGAGGGGAGAGCAGATAGGCAGTTAGGGGGATCAGGCCAGGAGGGGAGAGCGGTTAGAGCCCTCAGGCCGGCAGGGGAGCAGTAAGGGGCATCAGGCAGGCAGGAGAGCAGATAGGAGCATCAGGCCAGTAGGCAGGTGAGCGCTTAGGAGCCAGTGGTTCTGGATTGCGAGAGGGATCCCAGATTGGAGAGGGTGCAGGCCAGGCTGAGGTACCCCTCCTCCGGTGCACAAATTTTGTGAACTAGGCCTCTAGTAAAAAATAAAAGAACGGTAAAAATGAATCAACTAGAATTCTATATATTGACATAGATGAATCTCAAAAAAAGTTTTGAGTGAAAAAAGAAAATCATACAGTATAAATCTATTTTCAGATTAAGTTCAACCACAGGCAAAATGCGACCATATTTATTCAGGGCTAAATATGTAGACAGTAAAAAAAATACTACAGAGAAAAATAAGAGTAAACAAAAACTTCAAGATTTGGAGGGAACAGAATGGTACAAATGATCCTTTTTCTGGACCTGGATATTGAGAACAAGGAGGATTATTTTCACTCTGTACCTACATGTGTATTTGTGTGTGTTTACTTCTTTATTTATGGTTTATTTCATAATATTTAAAGAAGAATAAACTATAGTCTGTTGTATTTGTCATATATCTTCCAATGAATCATATAACGTACTAATACTTAAAGTTTTTTAATTCTGCAGAACATTTGCAGTTTAGAAAACTTATTATATTAACAATTTTCTTTGAGGTCAATTTCCCTTGGCTCGAGTGAGAATAAGAATATAAAAGACATGTTCATTCAAGAGGCAGAAAGGGTAGTATGAAGCAGAAATAAATGTGATGTTCTGAATTTTATATCCAAAACTCATCAACACAAGCAAAAGGTAAGCACACCACGTCAAGTGAAAGTAACTTCAATGAATTAACAATGACAGTTATCATTAGTTGAGTTTATATGTCCAAATAATTGGCCAATTACTTAAGGTAGATTATCTTTAATCCTCACAGCAATTCTGAATGGTAGAATATAAGAAAGAAAAATGATTTGCCACGTAACCCAGCTCATGTATGCAAAAGCCAGTATCTGATCCCAGGAGTGTCTCTCATATGTGACCTTGTCATTACCTCATGTTTCCCAGATATTATTCAAGGTCAGACTGTGGGACGTAATGGAGCCAGATAAGACTTGACCTTTCATCTAGCTCTGCAAATTATTGGCTGTTTGACCTTGGATAACATTTAATAAATACATGCTTAAGTCTTTGTGTTTTTTAAATTAATTGGAGATCTTAAAACCTGTCTATTACAGTTATTATGAGGTTTAAATGAAATCTGTGTGTAAAACACTAGTACAAAACATCTGTTCAATTAATATTAGCTTATTCTATTATTATTATTCATACTTGGCAACTTCAGTTAGTTTTATTATATAAACATCTCCAAAAATTTTCAGCATCCTGTGGTTAGAAAGGGGGACATTTTGTCGGATTAATATAAGGCTGATTAAGCAAAAGGAGAAAAAAAAATAAGAGGGATCCAAAAGTAAGGATGCTGGTAACTAACACACTTTCATGATGGTTCATGGGGTCATGGCCAAGATAGAAAGACAATGAAACCTAGAATAGAAAGACTCTCTGAGAAATGAAGAACATCCTTGGGAAGACAGAGCAGCTTTAATGAAGATGGGGAGGGGGAGATCGAAGGGGCATGATTTGGGGAAAGGAATGAAAGAAGAAAATTAAAGAAGTCTATAATGAGATCATCCACACCTGACCCAGAGCTCAAAACATTTCACAGCCCCGAACAATTTCATAACTGTTTGGATACCATCACTCCAGTTTTCCTGACAGGATGAGCTATGAGGAAGATTGACCAGTAGGACCTCACATTGTGGCTGAATTACCTGGGATGCAGCATTTCAGGGTTGCTCAGATGTCTTTACCAAACAATAGCTTTATTTCTGTGACATCCTCACTATGAAAAAGACACAAAAAACTAGAGCTCCCTCAGTCAAATAATAGAATATGGACTTCCCATTATATGTTATTCACTTTCATCAATTTCTACTCATATGGCCTTCTGAATCCCTGTTTCCAGCAACCTAATTTTTCAGTCCTCTAGAAAAACTTGCTTTTTCCTGTTAAGTTTTCCAACAAGCAAAATGTTTCCTCTATCTCTCACCTAAGACTAGAATTCTGCTACACATGTACAGACCTACTTGACTATGTTTAACTTCCTGTTTGTCCAGGTATTGCCAACCTCAATCCCTGCCAGTGTCTAGAACATGGTACCGTACCTTTAATATTTTGAATTGCCATTTAAACATACCTGACCTAATGAGTCAATCTAATTCAAGACATATGTCTATTAAGTCAAGTCTTTCTGAATAATCCCAAGATACCCCCAGAGATTATTAAAAAGCAGTTGGGTAATACCAAGTACTATAGATTTCTAAAAACTTTAATGCCTTCTTCAGTTAATATTGTAAGGGCTATTTATTATTGGTTTTCTCTCTGCAATTTGAAATTGTTTTCGCTCTGACCCATGAGACATACCTTACTGTGTGCAGAAGAAATACTAATTAGAGATCCTTTCAGTGACAAATGAGACACTGCAGTAAGTGAAGTAGCACTTTGGCTTACACTGAACTCCATACCTGAGCGCATAGCCTCTTTCTGAATGCTTTCATAGTCATGCCAGTCTTTTCTTCTCAAACCATCTGTCCATGCATAGAATTGCCCATCTCCCAGGCCCAGTGGAAATGTCTGTGGAAAAGGAAAGTATTCAGAGCATAAAAAGGAGGTATTTCCTTTTGCATGGTAGGTAAACACAGCCAGGCACATAATAGGCAATCAAAGAATATTTGTTGAATAAGTGTTTCTTCCAAGTGTACTGAAAAGAAAGCTATTGCTAGTGACCAGATTAATACACATTTTAAAACCCTGTTTCAGCTTTTTTAAAATTATTATTTATTGTCTAAAGTTTTACATATGTCTCCTTTTTCCCTGCTTAACCCCCGCCCCCCAGCCATTCCCACCCCAGGCAAGCCCCCACCACCCTAGTGTCTGTGTCCATTGGTTTTGCTAATATGCATGCATACAAGTCCTTTGGTTGCTCTCTATCCCTGCCTCCCCTGCCATTTGTCTCTAGATTTATTCTTATTCATCAGTTTATGTTGATCATTATCATTATATCCCACATATGAGTGAGATCATGTGATATTTATCTTTCTTTGACTGGCTGATTTCACTTAGCATAATGCTCTCCAGTTCTATCCATGCTGTTGC